AGGAGTGGAATACCTTACTTCAATTATATAAATCTATAATTAAATTCAATTTATATTATAAATTTGAATATACTTATTTTATTCATAAGGATGTATCGATTGTGAATCCTACTGGGACTGGGAAAACCCCTTGTTTTCTAGGCCATTATCCATCTATTGGTAACTCAGTTGATAAAGTCCAGTTGAATCTAAGTTTAATATGAAAATTAACTTTTCATTGAATTTTCCTTTTCCACTCAACCCTAAAGTTGCTGTAGATGTATTCACCTTAGCTTTAACATCTAAACCATTCAATTTTGTTGTTAATCCAACCAAGGTTGTTAACTTAGCCTTCTCCAGATTGTACTGAGCTTCAATTCCATAAGTTTATTGTTATTGTCTATAAACTAAATCCAAAACTAATCTTCCAGAAAGAAGACTCTAAAATGATTTTGATTTATCTGGATTTTAGGTTAGATGTCTAAAGAATAAATCGTATTTAGGTTAGAGATATCCAACAAGGAGATCTAGTTTTCTGACTCCAAATCCATGATTTGCTTGGAAATCTTTTACTGCAACGAAAGTCAAATCATTGACCTTCGAAACAGTTCTACTCAATACATTGACTACAGAACTATGTGCGTTGTACTCCAAACCTAAGAAGAAATACATGTGATATATACGTAAGTGATTTGTAATATCATTCCATCTTGTCACTCCTCCAAATCTAACAATGGCATCAGAGATATTTGAGCTTCCTAATTTAGCATTGGCAAATAAAGAAATGTTGCCTTTTGATAATTTGGCAACTTATCCAAAATCAATATGAACTTTGGCACCATTGTCTCTGGTAGCAAGTTGGAGAGTATAACTTGAAATAGAGTGGATATAGTACTTTTGGTAAGGGAATTAGAATTTGGTTTCTTGTTAGGATTGCATTTTTGAGATATCTAGCCATCCCTTGTAATTTGCTGATCCGGAATTCTTGGTATTTGCTTTCAACTTGAGATTCAATTTGCCAGTCGAATAGTCATCTTCCAACACTTTCTTGAATGAGTGATCACCAAGACTTGTAAGAGGAGCCGGATTCAAAGATTCTGGAGTGCTCATTTAAATATCTTTTTATTATAATTTATTGATGAATATTTAGTTTATATAATCATTGATAATATGTAATATGTTTACCTTTTTGAAACATAAATTTCTTATTACGCAATTTTCATTGCAATAATTACCCGTTAAAGATCCTATTAATATTTGGATTCAAGATATTGCTAAATGTTTAGATCCTCCTTATATTATAAATTATAAGAGAAAATTTAAGAAAGTCAAAATTATAAAACGTAAAAAGGTTAAGGATAGAATTCCATCTAAATCAAATGTAGTAATACACCTTTCAACAAGATAAAAATCGACCATCCATAAATAATTTAATTTTAGATAATTCAATTGTATTATGCTAATAAGTCATTCTATATTATCAGATATTTTGAGGGTATCATTTCAAAATCAATGTTGATGGCTAAAACCTTAAAGAATTTTAGTATTATCTTTTACTGAAGTAAGCTTCAATTGATTATTATGATCAACTAAGGAATAGCATTTATACTATTTACAATGGGTATAAATAGGTTTTTATTTCTCTTCAAAAAGGTTTAATTAATATAATACAATTTAGATTATAATTGAAGTATCTTTAATTCATCTTATATAAATAATTATAATAATAAAAATTCAAATAGATATGCAATTAAAGCATGAGAAGTTTCATTTCTTTCATTGAAATCAATTAGATATTCAATGTGCATCTCTTTTTCAAATTATTCCAATTCTATTTTATTCTATTTTATTCCATTCTTTCTTTTACCTATTACAATTCTTTCATAAAATAATCCTTTTATATTTTTAAAATCAAATGAGAAGACAGCTTTTCATTTGTGATTTAGTGATTTAGATTGATTTTTTATATTTATATAAGAAATCATTCTTAAGAACCTGTCTCCTATTTGGTTAATATTATCTTATTTGGATCAAAAGGCCATCTATCGATGAGTTACTGGGGTTTTTCTAAGTAGCTACCGTCACCAAAATTAACTTTTAATCCATATAATTTTCCCTAAAGAGATATATAAAACAAATGATACCCAAAATGAAGGATGTCCAATATCATTTACTAAATGTAGATACAGTTTGTTTGGAATCATGTGAGAGGCTTCTTGAGTATGCTCTTGTATTCCTGCTGGCTGTAAAACATAAGCCCTTACTTCATGCTAATGATAACCATAATAGACAAAGGTCCATTGATAAGGCTTAACAGTAAATAAATGTTACAAGGGTTCAAATGAAGGATCCTTAATAGTGTATGTAGCAGCCACTAATTCATTGACTTTGGTGAAGAGTGCCAATGTTCTATCTCCAATGAATTGATTATCCTACCCGACTTCCTCATTGTTTGAAGTTAATCTTAATAGCCCTCTGAATTCGTCCTCCATTTCTGGCAACAGTGGAGCATTTTAGTACCAAAAGCCAACACTATAACTAAGCATTTCCTATTTATCATCAAACTCATATTTCAGTTCACTCTTTTTTTCATCTAGATCATCCCAATTGGTGGAATCAAGCATTTTGACTGGCCAACCGAATCCTTCAGTTGACTAAGAACTTATTGGAACTTTGCGATGTAATTTATGGACCATTTCCACTACAGAATTTGCATCATTTATGAAAGCACCTGCACCTAAAAATACTCTTGGATCATAGATCCATCCATGGAAAGCTTTATAACCAAATTCATTTGCTGACAGAACCAAAATAGCATGTCCAGTCAAAACAAGATGAGTCACATCTAACTTGACTTCCTCGACATGCTCCCTATCTCTAAAAATGATTAATCCATAAAACTATTTATTTTTATAACCTGCATAAATGTAATTCCATTCTCCTTCTACATTTTCATAATTCACTTTAGCATCTACTGCATTGTTTGGAGCAGACGCATCATAAGTGCTGAATTCATAAAATCCTTTTTTGAGGAATGCAGATAATGCTCTATTTCCCAATTCTGCTTTATCCTAATATTCCAAGGTCTATGATAGACGGAATATGGTGTGAGTATCAGATCTTTCAGTCAAAGTAGTTGGGAAAGCTATCAACCATCTAGTCCACATCCCAACAGCATATTCATCTACAGATTCAACTTCTTTATCGAAACTTTATTCGAATTTAGTGTCAATTTTCTTGTCCTCTTTTGAGAACCACATGTTTTTCTGATTCTTAATAATATATCTCAGATTTGGCATGGTTTCTTCATTATAAGTGTGAGATCCAGATCCAAATAGTAATTCCCACTTGTGTTATTCTCCTTAGAATTTCCTGCTAAAAGAATCTTTGCCCAAATAAACAAACATATTATTGGCAACAAAGTGTTGAACATCCTTGAATACAATAGGAACATCCTTTTCGAATAATTTTATCAATGTTGCCACCTCCCTCTTATCTTCGCTATAACTCATGTAGAAGTATGTCCAAGCTCGTTTAGAAATTTCCCATTTCTGCTTTTGCCTCCAAAAACTTGGCTTTCATTCCAATCCTTCAAACCTGCAATGCTATAAGTACTAACTTTAACTGTGTCACTTGTACACACTTAAGCATACAATGTACGATCTCCTTACTATTTCCTATCAGATAGATGCTCTTCATCATTGTTGGTTATTCTGAATAAGACTTAACAAGGTGAATTAATCTCCCCTTCAATTTTAGCTTGTACTTCAGCAATCTTAAACCACCCGCTTATGGCATATTCTCCAATTCCTTATAATTGAGTTAGTTCTTGACTCTTATATTGTTCTAGCTCCACTTATCCCTTCTTCTACTTTTGAATGTACCCTACAGTTAATTCCAATGGCAAAGCATAACTAGATTCTATTGATTTTAGGAGTTATTCCTCATTTTCTACATATGCTTCCTTTCCCAGATGAGCTGAAATTTGACTGAACAATCCATGAAATCCTGCAACATTCTTCTCTCCACCTAAGATCAACTTAATCCACTCATTCAATGGTCTCTACAATAACTGTTCATTCTTTGCTTTTTGAATGTGTTCTCCATCATAAACATAATAGACAGCCTCCTATATGGATCTCTTATAACCAGCATATATGTAATGCCATCTACCTTCCAATGAAGAGTAAGAGATTGTAGATATCTCATTAGGAGCGTCCTCATTGATATCATAGGCACCAAAGTAGAAGTTATCGTGTACCAAGTATGCACTCAATACTCTATCTCCAATAGCAATCTTGCCATTCTCCAATTCCTCATTTGATGTCAATCTGAATATTTACATCTCACTTGGAATATTCCATAATCTTGATGGCCAAGCCTACAAGAATCGTAACCATAACCCAACTGAATATTCTTAAATGCTTTCGATCTTTTGATTTGGCTCAGCAATTCTCACTGTAACACCTTACTTTTCAGCATCTTAGGAATCTAGTACCAATTCATCTTCTTCGTAATCCCATTGTAATTTTGCATTTGGATTGAATAGCTTTGGAGACTATAGATAAACCATCAAACCCTTGAAATTATCCTTTCTGAATGCTCCACTTCCTAAATTCAATACTACCTGAGCCAATCGACTATCATACGAATTCAAGAGAGCATCTTTGGCCAAATAAAACCAATAATTGGATGAGACTGCATGCAAGGCTGACTCTAAAGCATGTTACTCATTCTCTTCACTATTGATGTAATAAACTATTTGTTGACTCTCCTTTGAATAAGCAAAATATGCAAATGTCCACACTTCCAAATTCTACTTAGCAATCTAAACTGGATATGCATTATTTAATTGAACTGTCTTATCACCCAAACTATAAGTACTGAATTCCAACCCTTCTGTATGACACATCACTAAAGTCCTATCACCTATCTTCTGAGCATCTCCAAGAGTGTCCTCTCCATTTGTTGTTAATCTATACATTAATTGAAGTGCTCTTTTAGACTCTTGAACCATCTAAACCACAATTAAAACCCCATACTCTCTAATTTCTTATTCGAACTTTGTTAAGTGATGTTTTTCATCAAGTTTTCTAACATCCTGGATTCCAGAAATAATTTCAATATTCTTACTTACTTATTCGATCTCTGGAATAGTATCCTTAGTCTTAATTTTAGATAACAAATCTGCCTTATTTTCAATAAAAGATCCTGGACCCAAATTAATTCTAACCTTGGTTATTTAACCATTGAAGTTAACATAGTATTTACCAGCATGACCAACTGAGAAATATAAATAATTAGTTAATAAAGAATGCAATACATCCATCTGTAATCCTTCAGTGTGATCTCTAAATTATGTAAATGCTATAGCATGTCCCTCCTATTATGTGTGTCTCTTATAACTGAAATAAAGATATTACCATTCTCCCTCACTCTCTCTTCTGTACTCGAGATCCCCTCCAACATTGTTTGATTTGGTTATAACATCATAAGTGCCAAAAGAAAAGGCCTTTCTACCCATCACCACCAACAAGACTCTATCACCTGGATTATCGAAATCCTTATATTCCTTATTACTTGTTAATCTGGCTACTCCCATTAATTGAGGCTATGCATAAATCTTTTATTTAGATCCAAAAATATTGATATCTCAACCAAAATCCATATCCATACTCTGAAACTCCATGCAATTACAGACTTGAACTTTACTCGAAATGAATCTACATTGGAGGTTCCTCATCCTTGGTTGCACATTCCAAGACCTTCTCCTCATGATGAGCCTCCTATCCTGCCTATTTGATATGATCAGCTCCACTAATAAATCCAAAATGAATTTTGATATTCTCATCCTCCTCAAAATTGCCCTCTCTATATGCTCCAAATCCTACATTCACCACCCAAGTTTTCATCTACCCTATGAAATCTACATAGGACTACCTTCCATGACCAACAATAATGCTGAAAACAGCTAAGTAGAAATGGGATATGTTTTCTTGTGTAAATTCAGCATCTGTAAATGCGAATCTTGCATAACCATATGTCTTCAGTTATTACTTTGAATACCCATAATATATGTAGGTCCATTGATCAGCATATTCATGAAACTCCTGTTCAGCAGGTATCAATTTACCATTATTAGTGTAAGTAATAAATCTGTAAAGCGAGTCTCCTCTTATGATTTACAAGGTCTCTTCTTTGTTTCCATCTATATCCAGTAATCTCTTTTAAGCCAATGTAATCACATGGGATTCCTTACCAGTAACTAGTGGACCAGCCCATCTTACCCATCCAGAAACTGAGTACTCCTCAGCACCCTAAAATTTATCAAACTCAAATTAGATGGGATCTTCAGCTATTGTAATTGCTGATCCAAACAATTGTAAAGTCTATCTGGTGACTGGATGTATTTAGGCCTTTTCTGGTAATGAATTTTATGTAAACAATCTCAACGTATCTTTATTTGGTACGAATGCTCCAGGACCAAAGCTAAAAGTAACTCTTGCTAATTCACCATTAAATAATGGGGCTGATGTCTTTCCAACAATGAATTCAACGTACTCCACTAAGAAATCATGATAGACAGTGAATGCAACCTCTTCTATTTCACCATCCACTCCAAATTGAATATAACCTTTGGCAACTCCAGTATCCCCCTGTCTCTTATATCCAAAATAAACATAATTCCATTGTCCTTCCAAATTAGTGAATGGGATATCATCTTTAAGATTAAGAGTCTAAAATTCATATGATTCTTAAGTTAAAACACAAGCCAAGGTTGTATCTTTCAAAGTTTGAGGTCTCCCTCCTATTAGCTCTGATCCATCTGCCATTCTCAGATTCAATTATGTAACCTTAAGTACCGACTCTAGCTATGTTATGGACTGGTGCTCTCTTATTCAAATATTTTGGCAATGTAGTCAACCATCTAGTCCAAAGACCAAATGCATATTCACTTTAGCCATTAATTTTCATTGCATTTTCATCGTGGATAATGATTTTATCCACTACATTGTCTGCTTAATCGAATTCAACATATCTACTCTAATCAACTCCCATGTAAGTAATTGGCTTGCCTACCTAATACACTGCCATTACTCCTTCTCCATAATTAAAAGTAGTCTAAAAATCAAGGCCTTCTCTGTAGGCTCCTTCGCCCAAATAAATACCAACGAAGGCTATCTTTCCATTGAATGGTGAAATTGTCTCATCCCCTCCTACCGTAACACTCAAATGGTTGGCTTATTTATGATACACTCCATCAAATTTAACTTCTCCAGTTACCTATGGTTTTATCAAGGCCCCATAGGCTCTTCCTTCCTTATACCCAAAGTACACATAAGTCCATATATATTCAGCACTTTCAACACTCTTTAATATATTTACAGACCCTTTTCCTCTGTTTCCATAAACAGTGTAGGTATTAAAATATACATTGCTCTTAATGCCACCACCATATACGTGATGAACTTCCAAGGCTCTATCACCCAGCACTCCTTTTCCTTAAGTACGCACTTTATTGGATCTCAGATTAATCAGTTAAAAGGCATTAGGTTCATCCACTTTAAGATCATCCACCCATCTAAACCAAAAAGCGACTGCATATTCTTCAATTAATAATTGTGACTCTTGTGGGTCAAAATGAAAGTGCTCCCCCTTCTCATTGCCACTGATTGTGATTGGTTTGCTGATAATTGTTTCCTCTATCAAGATGGGCAACTATTGAGGCATGTTACTCAGAGTATTAATGGTCTCTTCCAAGGAGTCATCTCCATCAATAAATGCTGGAGCATCAACGTCATAAAAGATGTTAGCAAATTATCCATTCAATCCTAGATAATCCATATGCTTTCCTCCGAAAATGAACTTTACATATGTTGGTGGTACATGCTAAGCCTCAATTTCAATTCTATATTTGGGTGCACCTTATCCATATTTTACTATATATCCAACTGCCTTTCTTTATTAAGAGCTGTAAGTGTATGCCACAAAATACCAAACACTATCCATGTTCTCATTCAATACAACATTAGTATCCTTAGTTTTACTTTAAGTTGTAATATCATACGTTGAAAATACAAACGAATTGTCATATAAAAATACTGCTAATGTTCTGTCTCCATAAAAAGTAAAGTCCTCATATTCTTCATTGGTTGTCATTCTTGATAAGAAATAGAATTGTCCCTCCTCACGAGCATGCTACTTAATTGAGTGTTCACTGAATCTCACCCAATACCCATATCCATATTCAGACGCATCTTGCAATAATGCTCTATCCTCAAATTCAAATACTTAAGTGGGTTCTCCATCAAATTCTGAATTGAAATACTTAGTGTTCACAGCAATAGCTTTCTTTTCTTGAACTCTACCACTGCTTGCTCTATGTTTAGGTGGTTAAAATTGTGTTGGTTCATTTGCATTGAATTCATCCTTAACAGATGTCAATTTGACTGATCTATCATGTTCATTATGATCATCATGTTTTTCTTCACTAACAACATCATTAAGTAAGTTCTCAACAGCCAGGTAGTTAGCTCCCTTGTCCGAAGATTAAATGACTTCTTCTGCAATAACTTCTTCAACGTAATTCTTATTTCCATAACAAATTGCAGGCAATGGCTACTTTTTTGCCATTTTCTTCTCTTACTTGGCTTCTCTTCTTGTCCTCTAACCAGATTGACTAGGTGGCCCATCTCTTTTCACTTTTTTCACAACCTTCTTTGTTTTGTTCCCATCCTAAGGCTCACACAATTCTTCATCTTCTTCTTCTTCTTCTTCTCCATTTTCATTTTATTCATCAACCTCATCCTTTTTATCTTCTTATTTCTTTTATTTATTTTCTGTTTTCTCCTCAGTTTTTTTCTTTTTAGTAATTACTTCTGCATCTTATTAATTTATTCTTCTTGGCTTATCTTCCTTCTATATTTTTTCCTTTCTCTTTGGCTTTACTTAATTCTTGTCATCACTTTTCTCCTCTTAAGTAATTTCTTCAATGGTTTCCTCTGCGATTTCAATTGTAGCCTCCTCCTCTGTAATTTTTTCATCATCTGGCACTGGATCTTCAGTAACTTACTAAGGATTTTCTTCGGTTTCCTCCATTCCATCCACATAATCTGGCTCTGGCTAGTTAACTGTATCTCCATAATATTCGCACTCTTCTCCAACCCCACTTTTAATATATTCAATAGGTCCATAGGTAGAATGAGCATCAACCACTTTGCTCGTAT